CTAACACCACCTAAAAATATATAAAGTAATAAAAATAAAAGTATTAATTTTAGATCACTCACACAAGTTTTCCATATCATCACTCCATATAAAAACCACCTAGAATAAAAAAAATTATTAACAAAAATCTGACATAAGAACTTAAATCAGAAACTAAAATCCCCAAGAATATTACAATTTCCAAATCAAAAATTACAAATATAAGTATTATAATAAAAAAATGAATTCTAAAAGAATTTTGAATTTCCCCAACACTAACAAAACCACACTCGAAAGCTNTGATTTTACCCCCCCAACCTCCGATTGTGTCATTTTGCCAATCTCTCACGCCCCCGGTTTTGTAGAAAGGGGTGGTCGGTGGTATGGTAATAAAAATATGAGGACGATATAGTAACTAGTTCGGCTAGTATGCAAATTTTCCCACATTCCTCCCCCTTTTCCCTTCAGTTCTCTTTTGACTTCTCGCTCTCCTCTTTTTCCCTTTTTTTCCTGACAGTTTTCGACTAGAATTAGAGATGGAGAGACGCAGAGAAACCGCTGAACATCATTGCGAACGTGTGTGTAGATTTGTAGGGCCTGATACCATATGAATATGCATACGGGTACATATATAGATAGGATAGGGTAGATTGCCGTGCATAGATTATAGATATTTTGATACACACACGAGGGGTTGAGACAGATAGAAAATATGAGAGGAATGGTCATTTTTCGACGATTTTGGACTGTTTTTGGTCGATGTTAACGGATTTTAACCCCTGGATTACTGTAGTTTTGACAATTTTTAGCTCGAAAATTAGCTTAAATTGATGAATTTTTGGCTCTGAAGTTGGGCTTCAGTCGGAAATGTTTAGTATTTTTGTCATTTTCGGATCATTTTTAGACCGATTTTAACCGATTTTCTGATTTGGATTACTGTAGTTTTAGGCGAAAAATCGACCATTTTTGGCTCCAAAAATAGCCGAATTTGATAGATTTTTAGGTCTGAAAATCCTCGGATTTCAGTCTGAAATTTTTAGAATTTGGGTCATTTTGGACCGGTTTTCTGACCTGGATTACTGTAGTTTTTGGGCCCAAAAATCGAGGTTTTTAGGCCTTTCTTGGCTCCAAAATTAGCTCTAATTTGATAGATTTTTGGCTAGAGATTTCCAGAGTTTTCAGCCGCTCAATTTCTAAAACTCGACGATTTTTCACTGAAACTACAGTAATCCAGACTTGGAAAAAAGCTGATTTCCCACTAATTTATGCCATGTTTCCAGACTCAACATCCTATCATCTCTCCTAATCGAGTTCTCCTCTCTCACCTCCTCA